AGTGATTTTGTCCATGTTGCATTTCTGGTATTTTTAACAGAATATCACTAACTTAAAGATAACCAAAAATGAACAGAATTAAACTGTAATGGGGATTGCACCCCCTGGAGTAATAAAAACCACAAAGACATAAGAGGGCAGACATATTTCAGAAGAACAATCAAATGAAGTCGGATCTAATTGGTTTCACGTTCTCAGTCCATTTGGACCAAATCTTGTAAAATTTTTCTTTTTCTAATTGGAGGGAAAAACAGATCCTTTCCATCACATAAATCTGGTAAACAATTTCAATCCATTCATCAATAGTGGGGGGGTCTGGTTTCATCCATTTCCTTGTGATGGCCTCCTTACAGGCAGACAGTAGTGCAGCCAGCAGTTCTTTGTCTTTGTTTGTCCATGTGTCCAATTGTAGATTTTCCAGGTACAATGTTTCACATTTTAATGGAATACTTACATTAAATACATTTTCAATATGTTTGTGGAATTCTTCCCAATATGGTTTTATTATCTGACAGTCCCACAAAATGTGAAAGTGGTTGATGGTGAAATTTAAAAAAAAAATCCTGTTAACAAATCAGTCTATGGTTTTCTCGAGAAAAGGAGGCAATTTTCTCATTATTTAAAGATAATGAAAGATGTTTTTCCGTGATAACGTGATGATTGGTGTGTCGGAGAGGATTTATAAGTCATGGCAGCCTATGTATCTATTAGAGTGTGGAATTAATAAGATTTTCACGATTCCGGTTCCCTTATCGATTCTGTGAAACAATGAACTTGGTAAATGCACGGTGACATTCGTCTACCTTCGCCTGGGACATTCTATTTCTGCCTGCCTCGGCGAAAACAGAAGGCGGTGAACGGGAGCTGCAGCCTCTGAGCAAACCAGGCTACCTGTCTCCTCACAGTCATCTAGATCTAATGGAGAAAGCATCCGTTTAATGAAAAAGTATTGCTGTACAAGTTCGGAAAGTAAACTAATCTCCCCCTGATTTAAATAAACGAGCGTCACCTTTCTCTCGCTCCCTGAACTGCGGAGCAACTTCGTAGCATGTTTGGTTACATCCATTGCAATAGCTATAATCATGTAAGAATTCCAGCTACCATTAGTTCTAATTAAACATGCTACTAATGAAGGGCTGGATTAACGAGAAAGGCACACTCCCTTTATAACCTCAAAGACATCTATGAAATTGGTTTATTTCCAATCCAATCCAATCCACTTTATTTATATAGCACGGTTTAAATAAACACAAGGTTTCCAAAGTGCTGCACAAAAAGATAAAATAAATAAAAGTAAATAAAATAAAATAAAAGCACTGCCCGCACAGGATAGAAATATGCATGTGTATACATAAAATCAACATGTGTACATAAAATCAATACTCTACATGGTGTTAAAAGCCAAAGAAAAGAGGTGGGTTTTAAGAAGAGTTTTAAAATGAGACAGAGAGGTAGCCTGTCTAATGTGCAGCGGCAATCCATTCCAAAGTTTTGGAGCTGCAACAGAAAACGCTCGATCCCCTCTGAGCTTAAGCCTTGCTTTAGGCACCGTCAGGAGCAGCTGATCAGCTGACCTGAGAGATCGGCTGGGAGTGTAGGGGTGCAGCAGCTCAGAGAGGTAAATTGGGGCAAGGCCATTCAAGGCTTTAAAAGTAAATATTTCCATTTCCAGAAATGGCATCTGAGTTACAAGGAACCACATAAAGCACAGCCAGTGATAAAAAACTAAATACTTACCACCAGAGTTTCCTTCCATGCTGGTTGTAGCTTGAGCTTCTGTCCGGAAGCATTAGAAACACGGCATTTGTTAAAATGTATGCCATGTTGTGTGTGCAGGTGTTTCTGCATGTTGGATGTATTAACTCCTGCGGATGTAATTGCCACATTGCAAGGATTGCAAAGCGCCTTGTTGTCATCTTTCTCTATCGCTTTGACTGCTTTTGTTTTGATTGTCTAGACTTACACCGGGTCATGTCACACTTGCTTGCTGAATGCCGTGTGCGTAAATTGTAAAAAACGTGAGATAAGTCATGCTGACCAGCGCTAGGCTCTGATGCTTCCTGGAATTGTTAAGAGAATCGATACAAGCTGCCAAACAGTGCCATGGAATTGGACCACACGGAACCGGTCCTGAACGGGAACCGGTTTTCGATTCTCATCCCTATTACTCATACAGGTTAATCATCTCTCACGATAATGCGATAGTTCTGTCATCATCTCGAGAAGGCAACGGGGGAAAAAAGTCGAGTACAACTGCTCTCGGCTTCAGTACGGGATAGAGCAGATTGACAGAAGCAATCTTTTTTTCTTTTTTCTTTTTTTTCTTTTTTTTTTTTTTTAGATCTTAAATGCCTCTGTTATCTAAAGGCATGTTTAATGTTTTTCTATTTAACTTATTTATCCAACAAGAAGTTAGCAAAATAAACCTTTGCTAACCCATATGTAGCCGATCTACTTGCCCTAGAGGTAAACAGCTGCCAGCCAACACATGCCACATGCCTCGGGCTCAAAGAATTTTGGACGAAAAATTTCAAAAACTTTTAATCAATTTGCCACAGAAATATAGAACCTGTCTTCTTGCAGCCATGTTTTGTGTGGCACTGGAAGAAATACACAAAATACAAGGGTTGCTCAAAGGAAAGCAATGGCATTCTCTTCATTATTTAACTGGATAAAGGCAGCCAGCCCACAGACAATGGGTAAGAGGAAGTGAGGGCTCACCTTAAACTAGAGGAATCTTAGATTTACTTCACAGGACAAGGCTAAGAGATACCCCAAGGTCTGGCAGTCTTTTATTTCCTGTTTTGAACATGAGTTTTGATCTGCTTCAGCATAATTAAGAGCCCCCCCCCCCAACCTCAGGATTATTGTTACTGTCGTCATTTCTACTTATGTATTCATTTCTAACCCAAGAGTGTCTGGAACACGGGTGGTGGGCATGTATGATGTCTGGTAGTAGTATGATATGTCTTGTCTATATTTTTGACCTGTTCTTGTGATGTATATTATGAATCCTACTACTTTGGTATTTTTTTAATGGTATGTCTAATATTTTAATCTGAAACTTTCTTCAGGGTTTCTTCCTGTTCAAAGGGAGGTTTTCCTCTCCACTGTCGCTACAAGCATGCTTAGTGTGAGGGATTGCTGAAGAGTCAATGAGTCGATGCAATCAGCTGGTTTTCCTTAGATAGAAAACTTTGAATCAATCTGACTGGATGATCTGGTGAACTGGAAAGTGCCTTGAGATGACATGATGGGAATTGGAGCTATAGAAATACACTGAATTAAATTGAAAATGACAAACAAAAACACTTTTATTATTATTACTATCCCATAGGGTTGTCAAAAGTATCGAAACTCAAAAAAGTATCGATACTGAAATGTTGTATCCGGATACAATACTCATTTTTAAAAGTATCGATACAGTGCCGTCACCAGTGGCACCTAAGCAGTCATTCATCTAAAGTGCAGAATAGAGGACAATGCACTTTCAGAACACTGTGTGATTGAATAATTCTGTGCTCTTCTCAGTTTCAGACTTTTTTTTTATAAGAGGTGCAGCTGCTGAGAATTATTTTTATTTCTTAACTGGTTTGGCTAGTGTCATTGTTATGTGTGCAAAGCATAGCCAAGGAAGAAACACTTAATTTGAATTTTATAAGTTTTTTATCAAGCTTGCATAATATTATGCACAGCATACAACCTTTATTGTGTTTATTTATTGTATTTTATTTATTAATTAAAATATTTCTGTTGAATTTTGGAGTCTTTATTTTTATCCTTGTGGTATCGAAAATGGTATCGAGTATCGAATATTTTCCTTAGTATCGGTATCGAGTTGAAAAGTTTAGTATCGTGACAACCCTACTATCCCATATGTAAAGAAAACCCCAAAGTTCAGACAGAAAGGTGATGAACTGGGCAAACGGTGCGACACCGGACCAAAGGAAAAAACTTTTCAAGTACCTAAAGCTGATAAAGACAAGCTGGTCCTTCGGGGCCAAATCAAACAAAAAGCTAAAGCAGTAGGGCAGGCATTAGCAAGCTAGGCACAAACCGTCCGCAGGTCGATTTAAACGTCAAAGTCACGTTTGAAAACACAGAGAGAGACATCAAGTCACTACAGCCTTGCATCTTCTGGGACATGTGCAAGAAAAAAACGTTATTGTCTGTAGAACATTTGGGTTTTATGTGTGGGGATGTGATATTGGATTGTAAAATTACCCCAGAGATTATCATAATGATCTGAAGGACCTCGGCTTCAAATGTGGGAAAAACACTTTGAAATCAGCTCGTAAACAAACATGATCTATCCCGGCGGTGATCTCCTCTGCAATTATGGCACCGTGATCACTTGTGGAAATGAGAATCCTGCAAATTTGGAGGCAATTTCTGCTCGAAACACAAAAGAAGGCGCATTAGTACTCAGAGAGAGCGATGGCTGAGGAGGAGAAGGGCTTAGACCGAGGAATCGGTGCATAGAGGGTGACAGAGTTAAAGGGGTTTGGAGTTGAAGAGGTAATGGGAGGGAGGCTAAGAGTGACAGGAAGAGGAGAGCTGTTAGGAGGAGCGGGGAGCTGTGCGGTAGGTAGAGCCACTAGACGAGATAAAGAAGAAATCATTCAGTCAATCAGCCCAGGCCCCGGTGCAATCATCAGATCTCATCTGTTTTCAAGAGCAATTCTACCCTTTATTGAGCTGTTGTGTCTAAAACAGGGGAGACTGCAGTGGGGAACATTAACCCGTTCAGTGCCACCACCGTGCTCAGTGGAGCCAGAAATGAGAAATGATAATAAAGAAAAGTCAATCTTATTATCGGGTTGAACTGCTGCTGATGCTGAGGTCGTCCTTATTGCGCGGAGGTCGTGACATGCCGACATGTTTGAACGTTTCCTGTATTTTTCAGGCCAATATTAAAAACCACTCAATGATTAAATCCAGTGGAAGGAAAGCTTTTCCAACCCACTGTGCATTCGACACGTTTCCTTTCTGTCTTTCAGATGTGAGCAGAAAGGTCAGCGGCGAAATGAGCAAGCCTGCCTACGGCTGCCAGGTGACCATCCAATCCGAGAAGGAGAAACAAATGATGAAAATTTACCGCCGAGAAGAAAAGCGAGAGAAAAAGAGAGCCAAAGGAGGCGATGATAGTGACTTCTCAGAGGTTGGGGTAACCTTTGACCCCAAAGAGATGAGAGCTCAGCGGTAGGTCACCTCCACACTCTGCCTGTTCTCCATCCGCCCGTCTCTGCCTGCGCTCCAAGCAGCACCAGCTTCTGCGTTTCCCTGACACCTCTGCAGCTTTACCAAAATCCAACAAAGGAAATAAAACAAAACAGGCAAATAAAAATAAAACATCTCGATGACTCTGCAGCTCGTTACACATCTTTTCCTGCGGAAGATTATTCCCAAAGTTTAATTTCAGGGGATGACGAAGCAGTGATCTGTTTAATTAAAAAGCAGGGTTAAACTCAGCGCGATGTGAGGAAAATGATAAGCGGGGAGGTAAGCCGCCTCAGAGAGCTGCAGAATGCCTCTCGTCTGTTAGTCAGTCATCCACGGGGGGGGGGGGGGGGGGGGGGGATTCTTAAATATAGAGGGGAACAACACAAAATGAATTTAGTCGTCTTTTAGTCTGTTGAAGGGTTTATTTTTATTCATGAGGTGATGTAGAATAGTTGTTCATTGAAAGCGATTTAAAGGGTTTCAATGCTGCACTGTCCCTGCTTCTTTGCAGCATCTTTTATGGGGGGGGGGGTCTGGTTTTTGATCCCTGCTTGTTTCCAATGATCTGGTTCTGCTGGTTCCCTCCAGCCGAGTGACAGGCAGCCGGGATAAAGATCAACTCCTGAGTATCTGAGGCCGCAGCTCGAATCCCCTCAGGTACGAGGACAGGGCTCCAGCAGATCGATAGACGCTGCATTGATCTGAAACAAAAGGCAGAACTCTCGATGTAGCAGTCGTTCTACATCCCTACACCTCCCCTATGTCAGGACATCTGGACCATGAGCCAAAGAGCCAAGTCCTGGATAAAAGCGGCTGAAGTGAGCTTCCTCCTCAGGGTGGCAGGAGACCCTTTGTATGTGAACTCAGTGAAGCTACCTTGTGATGGAGCAGAAGTCGTGGCTCTGATGCTCTGACTGCCTCCCTGCCAGCTCTCAGATCAGCTCCTCTGATTGGTTAATGCGCCGCGTCAAGCAGCAAAAGTTCAGATTTACTAACTTGATGGGTGTCGCTTCAGGATGCCAGGAGTTTGAAACGCACCGCAGGACGTTTAAAAACACTGATGGTCGTCATGAAACACTTCACATATGAACCGGCCGCTCCGATGCTCCAGAAGGGTTCAGTTTGAACACAGCTTTGAAATGATGTAATTAGAGTCCAGTTTTCTTCTAAGGCTTTTAGATTCATGGTGACCAGAATAACGGAGGATCGGCTCAGGAGAAACGGTCCTTATTATTGTTTTGGATGCTAAGCTAGGGATTTCCCAGTCAGGATATTTTTCCCTGTACTGTCGTAGTCCTTCTAAAATGATCAGTGACTGATGCTGAGGGCCTTATGGTGGAACGATATAACCTCTGTTTCTTTTTTTATCACTAAATCTGATTGACCTTAAGTTTGATTAAAACAACCTTCAAGCTGTGACGCCTGTTTGGTTAAACAATCCTGTTTAGACGTAGGCCGATCCGTCAGCCAGCCGATATTTTTAAAATGATCCAACTGAACCTTTTTATTTTTGTATTTGTATCAGCTGAAACCTGCATACATTCACAGATCGATTGGAACGTTCAGCAGCTCAGCCTCTAGACCAAGGGAAGCGTTTACATTGCCCCCTCCTCCACTCACTATCTATGGTTTATTGCGTTAAAGGAAAGGCGGCTCAAATAATCAGCAGCTCATCCCATGATTGGTCAAAATAATCAACATCAGCTTTAAAAACATGGTGTCGGTCGACCTCTCAAACAAACGGTTATAATAAGATGCTAAATGTCTGCATGTGGGATTACTCTGTAAAGCTCCTGTCACACCTTGATGATTTAGACCAGCGTTTGCCTAATGCACGAAAAATCTGCCAAAAACATAGGCATACGTTGGATGAGTTCTAAGCACGTTAAAGTAAGCTGGCATGTGTCGGCAAGTAGGTTGAGAAATTTTGAGCAAGCTTTAACTGATGCAGCGTAATGCCCATGAGAATGGGCATTACGCTGCTGTGCGTCATGCTAAGGTTAGACGGTCATTGGACATAAGTTCTGGACTCATTATGAACACTATGCATACACCCAGATTTGAAAGAATACATAGAACGTATGCCAGCATTTTGGGATATCAGGCATAAGCTGGATAAATTGGCAAGGTGAGACAGTAAGCTGGATTAATCAGTTCTTAATTAATCTAAGAACAAGTGATGAACTGATGTTGCTCTGAACTTTGGAAGCCCGAGATTGTTTTAGTTTTAGATGAAAATGCCTTAGATTCTAACTGACAGACGGGGGGAAGAAAAACTAAAGTACAGTGATGAGGATGTGCACAGAAAGCAGCCTTTGGTTGTTAAAAGGGTGCAGCACACACTTCCTGTCCTGCTATGGAGGCAGCTTGGCTGATCACAGCCAGCTGAGCAAAAAGACGTGTCAGCAGCCATGTTTCCATGGACTGACATGATTGGACTCTCCCCCAATAAACGGGACCTTCTAATGAGAGCGGTTCTGATGGTGTCCTGTTGCTGTTTTTTATGACCTTTCCTTTTCTTCTCACAGAGAGCAGGCCCTGCTGAATGCACGCTACGAACCCGTCCTCACCAGAGAAAGAGTTTATGAACGGATCCGATACCCCAACGTCTACGACAGCTATGCAGAAGCAACGAAAGCACCGGCCTTCGTTGGAGGAGCCAGGGTGAGAGTTTCTTCTTTCCCAATGAGAACCTGACTGTTCAGCGCTACTTCAACACCGCCTACAGCCTGACTTCCAGCCTGACCCCAATGGGTCGGCCTGTCACACTGCAGTTCTATGGTTCAATGTATGGCTTTGAAGAAAGCAGAGAGCTGGACAGCCATCCAAAACTAAACATGGCGGCTCAGGACGATCTGCTGCTGTCGCTTCTGTTTGATAGAGATTTCATCCCTGAAAAAAGAAACGGTAAAACTATTGTGTTCTCTCATGGCGTCTGCTGACATTTTCATTTCTTATGCTGATTGGCTTAAACCAAACTGTGGTAGGCGGGCACTAGGAGTCCATTCGCCCAATGAGCTGGAAGGGTCAGCTGAACATGAAAGTTTCAGACCTGTGAGCAACTTCTTTAATAAACAATCCCATCGCCATGGGAACCGTTTCCATGTCAGGGGAGAAAAATGGAGGGAGAGAGAAAATATCTGTCGCTAGAGGCTGTGGAGGAAAGTCTTTAGTGTGAACATTAAGGCTGTTTCTCAATTCACTAGAACGCGAGTACGGACGCGTGTTCTCACCAAGTCTGTTCTTGATAAGAACACAGGAAAGTCTGGACTCTGGGAGAACAGGAGCACGCAGCATAAATATGGGTCAATTGGAATGGAAGCGTACTGATGACATCATCACACGCTCAGCTCGTCTAGAGCTGCATTTCACCTGCTGTTATTATTAGTCTCTGGATAACAAATTATTACTTTTTTCATTTAGTGGGGGAATAATAATGAACACAGTCAGAGAAACACAAATCAAATGAACATTTTTGCCAAAAAAAGTCGCCATCATAGATAGCGGTCCTTCAGACACGGCTAGGCAGAGAGAGGGCCGCTGCAGACGGGCTGCGCTTAGCCCTGGCTGCCGTTACCCTCGGAGCTCCGCTCGTTGCCACGCTCCTCTCAACTTCGGGAATCTTTTTTTAAACTACTCATTAAATCGGTAAATGGACCACATAGTGACGATTAAAAGTCTAATATTCTCGCCTCAATGATCTTAAAACTTACATTTATTGAACAACAACAACAACAGAAAAGAGAACTTTTAACTTTCAATGGAACGCTCCCCGGAGAACAACATCCGGGGATCTGGTGCGTTCTCAGTCTGGAATTGGAACAGTGCTCGGGCTGAGGCTGATGACATGTCACAAGCACACGAGAAGGCTCAAGAACGCATATTGAGAAACGGCATAAGTGTTATCAGTGTCAGAAAAATGAAGTTCTGCTCTGATTGACAGGTTCCCTCCCTGTGTGACACGGTCAGATAGTTCAGAGTTGAAACAGCAGTTTAGAAGGATCTCCTTTTTATATGCACCAGGGGGAGCAGCTGTGGACGCGCCTGCTCACCACCTCGATCCACAGCAATACAGAAACACTGCAGCTTTACCCCTTTGACAATATTTATCCTCATTTTAAGCAAATTAGACAATCCACTAAATGGAATAAGATGATTTACATTCAGAATAAATATTTTATTTTAACTGCAAAACTTCTAATTATCCAACTGATATCATATGAACTTTTTTTTTTTTTTGCACAAATTCAATCTTTTTCTGGACTGGTTAAACACTGGCAGCTCCTGAGCAACTCGACTTTAATGATTAATATTATATTCATTTTGTCAGATCAAAAGTTCTCGTATCTCCAGACATCTGCAGCTGCTAAGCTTTAAACTCTCTGGATGTTTGGACTTTGTTTCCAAGTTTGAAGATGTTTCTCTTCTCATCCAGGAAGCTTTTTCAATTCAAAATGTCAGAAATAGCGTTGAGTTCCAGGCTTTTATACAGCAGCCCAACAAAGCCTTGTAATGGATTAGAAAACGTGCACATTGAAGGGTCTTAAATGGCTTCCTTCACACCCCTTTCAAACCACCTGTGTTCTTTATCTAAAGAGTGAACTTTCTGGTTCTTAAACAAATGTGGTTTGTCCTTGAGGTGTATGTGAGCAGCAGAATCTTGTCCCCAGGAGGTCGCCCATCTGTGTTGAGCCATGCGTCTGTGAAGATGTTGATTGTTTGTTTCTACAGCAGTAAAAACCTCTGGAGTCATTTCTAAGAGTCAAAGGTCTGTGGCTGAAAAATAGAGTCTGATTCCACTGCAGAGCTCACATTTTAAAGTTGCCACGACCATATGTTATAATTTTCAACATCCTAGTGCAGAATGATGAGGTGAAGGAAGTGGACTCCTCCATGGAAGAGAAATGGCTGTTTTTCTGTCCAATGACTAAACTTTTAGAGCTTTTAGAAACGGCTGAAATTCCCAGAGAAAGTTTTAATCTCTGAATTTTCTTCCAAACCCAGTTTTTTATTAGACTGTAGGTCACCTGGTAGGTCTTTAACATTTAGTTTTGTTTTGTCTGCGACATTTAGCTGCTGTTACCAGAGGGAATCCACAGAGAAAACAACAAGATGTTTGAAGAGGTGGAGATCCCCCCCAGTGAACCCATGGCTGTCGGCTTCCAGGAGCGGCCCGTCTACATCTCCGAACTGGATGAGGTAAGTGGCCAAAGGTCGGCGACGACAAACCCGCTCATGTTGCTTTGTTATCTGCAGAGGGAGGAAAGCAAAAACAGATGAAGGTTTTGATCTGATCCGGTTCTGGGACGGTTCTCAGCAGATCATTAGAAGCGCCTCTAAAGATAAAACTTTAACTTTGCAAGAAGCAGCACGCTGTTGTTCCAACATGATTACCAGAGAAATAAAAACCCAGTTCTCTAACTATATTATCCACAAACTGGCCTTTTAGTTTGCCCCTGGTTCCAGAAACTCTGAGCAGACTCTTTCCTCATCCTGTTTTCTGCTGCGGCGTTCCTTCCCTTTGAAAGGCGGTCGCTATCAGTCAGTCCAGCTGACGGCGGTCATTCTGCTACAGCTGCATGTTGTTAGCTTCTGTTTTCCTTTATCCCAGTAAATAGAGAGAAGTGGGGCTGCAGTGTCCGCTGAGCCATGTTCTTTCTTAATAGAAGTGTTGTAACTCTCAGGCATCTGTCAGGGAACACAATGCCCCGTCAGCCTGACTGACACCTTGACTGACAAATCCACATGCATACCGCTACATACATCCCCTCCGCCTCCTGCAGCCTCCACTGACGCCTCTGCAGATGGGGACGTAGGAGACGGCAGCTCAGGGCGCCGCGGGCCTTCGGGTGCCAGACTCCTACCGGTTTGAACACCACGTTGTCTTTTAATGGCCCGGATGCTGCGGCGTCTTTGTAGCTGTAAAGGTCAGTCCCTCTTCCCATAGTTTGGCCTTTTATTTATCAAGACGCTGAAGTGCAGCCATAAAAGCCTTTTGTTCCACTTTAGGAGATCAGTGTAGCTGCTCCCTTCACTCATGCTAATGCACATCATCATAGCACGGCTTTAGCTTCGGTGTGTGTGCAGGTGTGTGTGTGTTGTGCCATGGCCAATTGATAAATGAATGCTTTAATCACATCTACACCATTGCTCTTGTTGTTTCCACGGTTAATGAGAGTGGCTCAGGTGTTTGTGTATATTTGCACCGAGGAATGGTGAAGTCCCTTCAGTGGCTGTCAGCTTCAATCTTCATCATGATGATCTATGAGAATTTAGCCATTAAAGCCTTCATTAGCCATGCTAATATAGAGATGTCTAGATGCTAACGGTAAAGGCATCGTTTAGGATCTGTTGTTTGGTCAGAGATCCATGAAATGCTTCATCAGACGTTCATTTAAGATTCTTCTCTTTCTACCCGGCAGCTCGGTTCTGACAGGCAGGCCAGCTGACAGCTTTCCTGGGGCCCTGGGCAACACAGCCCCCCCAAACAGTTTACAAACCATGCATGAAGGAATAAAACACTTTGTGAACTCTTGCAGCTGCGGCTGCTTATTACTAATCTGGATCAGCGCCATAGATTCAGTGGATTCTCTACATTCCACAACGAGCCGGTCCTCCCTCCTCCTGCTGCTCACTGATAAAACGATAAAACTGAATGTGATCCAGTATGAGCTGATAGGTGGGGGCAGGTAGAGAGTAGCTCCCCCCACAGGTAAATTGGTCTGGGTTCAGGAGAGTGACTGAGGGTCCGCAGTAGGGGTGTAAATATAATAATTTTGTATCGATTCATCGATCCAACAGCTACGACACGTCCGCAAGAGAATCGATTCATGTTTTTTTTCCTCCGGTCTACTTTTATCCATTTGCTCCTGGGCATAATTCTCCCTCCCGTGCTGTGGTGGCGCTAAACCTATTTTGCCCTCCTACCTCACTTCCTGGTTATACTCTTACAGCAGTGTGTTGCAGTGAGCTTGATGCAGACATTTTTAAATTATGCTCAGTATTTAAGCGTGGTCTGTGCTACACGCTGTGGGTCTAGATAAGGCCGAGGCGGCGAGGAAGTGGGGGCGAGTTTAGTCCGACGACGGAGGGACATGAGGGCCAAAAAGAGCGGAGATCCAGGTGGAAAAAGGGTCCCAGCGTTCTCGCGCACCTCGCTCTTCTAGCGGGTCAAACTTCACGAGTTGTTTTCCGCAATTTGGTCATAAAAACAAAACAAGCCGGCCTCCTGTCTGCGGCGCTGTCTGCGGTCAGCTACAATCTGGGAGAGGAGCAGCGGAGCGTCTGTGGGGGGGGCGTCTGGAACCGAGGTATTTTCTATTGAACTCATTGCACTGATTTTGTGCAGTATTTTTTATTGCAAGGCCTTTCAGAATCTATAACGCAGGGATATTAGTATTTTTCAGTGAATGAGGTTTTAATAGGAATTAGTACAGTGCAACTTTTCTACTTCTGTTATTTGTTGTTGTGTCTCAAATAAAAAGCATAACAATATTACAGCTTTCATTGATTTATTTCAAATTTGAAACATTGTCTAGCCTGTAAGGTGTTAAAAAAAAAAAAAAACAGTTAATCGAGTCGAATCGTATCGTGGTGTATTTTTGAGTATTGAAAATAATCGAATCGTTGGGTCAGGAAATCGTCACTGAATCGAATCGCCATGATGGGTGTGATTTACACCCCTAGTCCGCAGCCTTATAAGGTGCTGCTGTAGAGAAGCAGGGAGGATGGGACAGTGGTGCAGCAGCGATGCAGAGGCTCTCATTCCAAAAGATGCTTCATCAAAAGTGAAATTTAAAATTTGATTTACAGAAATCAGAACCAACTTTGTTCACATTAGGAATTTTATAAATATTCTGAATTATTTTCCTTAATTCTATCAGATTCTATAGAGCAGGCTTGTCGAGGGTCAGTAATAGAGGATATCAATGGTTAGCTGATAACAGGCTGTTGCTGAACCTAGGGCTGCAACTAACGATTATTTTACAAATCGATGAATCGGCCGATTATTTTTTTGATTAATCGATGAATCGGACAAAAAATATTTTTTATATTAACCTCTTTATTCCAAAATAAACATTTTAGACAGAACAAACAAGCACACAAGTACAGGTTGCTCATTAACTGTGCTGGTGCAATATGAAAAATAAATGTTTGTTAAAACTACGCAAACTTACATGAGAAATGTAGCTGTACATCCACAAAATATAGGCTACTTTGTTTCATAAAGTAAAAAAAAAGACATTTTTGTTTTTTAAAAGCCCCTAAGGGGTTCAAACAATAGGCCCCCCCCATTTCAACAAATGAGGTTTTTTTTAGACTAGAAGAGTTCTTCCTTTTAAGACAGGAAAGTATAGCAGTTAAAGTTGCTACTTGAGAAAATACTGAACCATAGAGATAAAAATAGCCCTGTGATTCAAATTATAAATTGTATTTGGAATAAAAATGAGAGAACTAGGGGTGCTAAAAAACACATCCTCCAAAGACAGATATTTACATGGGAATGTGGCAGATAATTAATTGACATATTACTGTACAATATATAGAGCTACTTTTTTCTGTCCATTAATGTATATTTATTTTTTTTATTTGTATATTTTAATTATTGTGATCAATTTGCGCCATCAATCCCGGCGCATGCGCGCTTCATTTGCAGTCTGGACACTGAGGGTAAACATCCTGCGGCTCTGACTGCAGCGCTGAGAGGGACTCCTGCGGGAGATTGGGGTTGGGATGGGGGAGGCGCCCCACGGCAGCAGCTGCCGCTGGAGGACAAGAGTAGGAACGATACATGCTTTCACGTAAGAGTCTCCAAAAAAGTCGCCAGATTTGTCGCTAGTCACTTTTTTGAAAAATAGTCGCTGGAGGGGTCTGAAAAGTCGCTGAGTTGGAAACACTGCACCTACGGCGCTGGCTCGCTCTGCCGTATTTTGTTTTTTTCCCCCGTTTCAGTCAAGTGGATGTGATGGTGGCGGGTGACGCATTAATCGCGCGACACATCTAATCGATGATGAAATTCGTTGCCAACGCTTTTAAAAGTCGATTTTTATCGATTTTATCGATTCGTTGTTGCAGCCCTAGCTGAACTGCAATCTTCATCCAACTAGGGCTGCAACCAATGATTATTGTGCAAATCAATTAATCCCTCAATTATTTTTTGATAATTGATTGATAATCAGATAGCAGATGGTTTCTTAAAAAATATTTATTATGAAATGAAACCAGGTGAAACTCCAAGTTTTCCACTTCAGGAGTTCTAGATAGAGCAGATTGACAGACGAAAACATTATTTTAATTTTGTCATTTTGTAACAAAAATACATTTTGTTAAGAACAACTCTCTAGACAATTACATTTATTAAAGTGCAGCCTTGATAATGTAAGCAGCAGTGAGCAGCGCGCTCCTTTCATGTTTGCTTGGCAGCAGTGATGTCAGACGGATCCGGATGGGATCTTAGCATCCAAATGGATTTTTACCCTGATGGAAGAGGATCTGATGCTGGAGCATTAGGGCCTGTTTCCTGGGCTTCACCCCATCAGTTGTGGTTGAGCTGCTACTACTGCCTCCAGCTCCTGAAGTACTCGCTTCTCCTGGTTCAGGGGAAGCTCAGGAGTAGCCCCCCTGGGTTAAAGAGGCTAAGGTGGTTGAAGCAGCAGTGGAGCCATCGGCAGGTTTAGCAGCGGCAGACGATGCTGGAGAAGATGTGGGAGCTGCAGGGGACCGGGAGGAGCCGGCTGGGGATGGTTCAGTATTTGTCAGGGAAGCATCTAAGAGTGCTCTCCTCATTTTCACCTGCAGAGGGCGGTGTTTCCTTTCTAGATGCTGAAGATTGCCTGGGAAAAGCCTCAGAGGAGCCTCCATTCCCGCAGAGCTCTTAGTTTCTATCGGCGCGGTACAGCATCAGACCTAGCAATGTCCAGCACTGCTGGATGCAGCCAAGACTCCATCAGAATGATGGTGCAGCAGCTACATGTCTCCTTTTTTGAAGAGAGTTTGAGTCAGTGTTACGCCCCCAAGGTCTAGGGGTTCTGGAGAGGTAACGTAAAAATGCGTCCAGGGCAAATCAGTGGAATGTAAAATTATTTTTTACAAAAGATGGTTAAACAGACCCAAGACACAATACAGCTTAACCCAATTAAAACAAATGAAAAGCGCAAACAAATTCAGGAAGGGTTAAGTGCAGATTAAATTACAAACTG